AAAAAACTTCAGTTTCCAGTTCACTTAGCTTTTGCAATAAAAAAGGATGCCTTAAAATAAAACCAACTCTTTATCGAAAATAAAATTTATGATAATTGCATTGGAAAATGCATCTATGTTAATAGATGTATTGAAGTACTAAAAACGTGCTGCGGAATAATATTAGAGTAAGAAATTAGATAGTTAAAATTTAGTTATTACAATACAACTTTGGTATTTCAACTATTATCTATATAATTTATTAAAACTATTTTATTATAAACATATTATTGCTTTTGATTTCATAGCACTCCAGCTAAACAACTATTCTACGTTATTATGCTATCACGGCTATATTAAAATTCGAGAAGAAATGAAATATAATTATAGGAATTATAGGGGTCATGTGACTTGTGGTTACGAAGTTATGGCGAAAAATTCCAAGCCTATGTTAAGTGCTACGCCCCTTTTACAAACTCATTTATATATACCTTACTATAAGCACCTACCATAGATATGTCTGCATACCAAATGTTATGTTTATGTGACTTATGGTTCCGAAGTTATAACTGGTAAAATATTCCACGTCTTTGGGATTTGCCGCCCCCTTCCACAGTCTTATTTATATATATACCTACTACTTAAGTTCCGTAGTTATGACTGACTAAAAATTCCACGCCTATGTTATCTGCCACACCTCCTTTTACAAACTCATTTACATATACCTTAAGATAAGCATCTACTATAGATATGTTTGCATACCAAATTTCAAGTTCATGTGACTTACGGTTCCGAAGTTAGAGCTGATTAAATAATTCACGCTAATGGGTGGTGCCACGCCACCTTTTCCAATACCGCCAATTTTTTCCCATGAGTATGGAATTAATTTTATTTATCTCGACAGCAAGTTCCAATGCTCTACCACAAATATTTCAAGAGATATAAAATATGAAAATTTTAGTAAGTATAGGAGGTGCCACGCCCTCTTTTCCAGCACTGCCCATTTTTCTCTATGCCTATAACCTTCCCGGGGAAAAAGCAAATAAGTGTGCAAAGTTTCGGGCGATTCCGTGCCGCGGTTCAGAAGTTATAAGGTAATAAGCAAACAGACATTCACATTTATATATATAGGTGAATTCAAGTTTGCCTGCCAATTCTTATGGTCTTAAAGTAATTCCAGCCTATGTTGAAAGTGCATTGTTGCAAGTATAAGTCAACATACTTCAGGCATGGTGCCCGTGAGTGCAGGCGCGGGGCAGAAAACGTATATCGTTAAAATGCCATGGCGTATGAGTTATGTATCAACATCAATATTTAGTCCGGTTATGCTTCCAAGCTTGTGCTCATTCACCTCGGTTTGTTCTTTATTTGCAGATTTTTGCGAATAGTTGAAAATTCGTACAAACTTTTACGGAAATAAAAACAGTATTGCTTTTGTTTACGTAATTAACTAAATCCAAAGAGAGAAATTTCTTAAAATTTTCCGCAGGCATTTCGGGAGGGGTTTGAACCCCCAAAACCCCTACCTGCGTTCGCTCCTGAAGCCAGCTGTGATTACTTTACTTTACGCTGGGGTGGGTCTTCAATACAAGGCTATCTATAGAATTTCTGATCAGAGAAAAATTGGGCATAGGCCTACCAGTGGCAGGTGATGGTATATCCATCTACACTGATTGCTCAAAGAAGACTTGCCAAACATCTGCAGCCTCTTCCTAGCTAAGATTTATACTGCAGAGAAGGCAGCTGGTCTTCTACTAAATAGCACAGGTACTGGCAGGAAATCCAATCACTTTGCTGTAACCGAACGGATTTGAAAGAAATAAATCCAAAGTATTTAAATCGATGATCGCAATATCACTCTTTTCTAGGGTTTCGGACAAAGTAATATACATACATTGGATGTAATAAGGCAGCTAATAAGATGATCGTCTCAACACACCGCTGCCAAAATCTACATACCTGTCATATATGCCGAGTTGTCTGCAATCACAACTACTCAATGAAATAAAATACCTATCTAAATTTCTGAGATTAAGGGTTTTAAGAGCTTTGCCCATCTGCCGCCCAGAGAATGATAATGGATGCATCGATGACTGAGGTGGGTACTGGCCCGATTTTTGGCACAATTGTGTTAATGCAACTTATCGAAAGTCGATCAAGAAACCCCATTACTTATCACTCAAATTTGCCATTTCCTTGTCTTAATATAATTGGTTTTGGATCAAAAATAGCTGGCCTGACCCCTGTCCAGCCAAATGTTCAGATGTCCCATGACCAGGTATTTCCAAAGATGGCCATATTTTTCAGCACAATTTATTAGATATTAAGATTGTCGAACTAAAAGCTAATAAGAGGCAATTTTATTAAATGCAGCTTGGCTATCCACACAATCCATGGCCTGGAGAATTACAAGTATATTGCCTGTGAATTCAGTGACATATTCGCCAATAGAGACAATAAATACTGTCCGTGCCGCGCGAATAAGGCTCCAAGTCCTGACCCTGTGTCAATTTTGGAGCCATTGGTATAATGTGTGAGCTCGGGCTCAGTATTTGGACTAAGCCAGCACTTCGCTTCAGAGAGATCAATATTGTGAACAAATTTTTCCTTCACAGAAAATGGTGGCATTGAAAATACCTCTGCCTCAAGCGAATTCCGCCTCACTCCACATTGTATTATATCACCACCCTTTTCTTTTAAGCCCGACCTCTTCGCGGTCAAAGACATTAAGTGACGGTATGCTCCGGTACAGAATAGGGCGATCGTTCTTTTAGGATAGGTAAACAGATTTCCCATGCTATTGACTGAAGATTTGCTCAACCACACCACGGATGCCTAATAGATAACAGGTCTGCTCAAAGAAGTGTAGATCCAGAGGATCACTCTTAGGGACGGCCCCACGTCTTACCCAAGACAGAGACAGGTTTATATTAACAGAATGCTGATAAGGCTATGAACAGTATTTTGTTCAATGTGAAACTTTCATAAAACCTTCTGGTGAAGAGCACAGCGCTACGTTTGATTGCATTAGCGTACAGTCCATTAGAATATTTTGTATCTTGGACTTTTAAATAGCGTTTTTCCTCTACAGACTGCCCACCGATGACTACAGACGAGTATCCCATTTGGAGCGTCATGAAAAAACACGCCCACCATCGAACTTTTTCCAACATGCACTGATGGCCCGCTTCCTAACAAAATGCCTCGCAGAAGCTGGTTACTTTGGTGCATCGCCCAAAGCTGAAGATCTGGTGACTATCGGCGGCATACTTTTGCGTACTTTGCAATTCGTACAATTCAATACACACGAAGTAGCCGAATTGCATGCGAAGAAGGCAGATAGCAATGAGAAGACGGTATTCATTGGTGGTGGACTCTATCCGACATTGGCGCTCTTCAATCACTCCTGCGATCCGGGTGTAGTGAGGTGATGGTCGTGTGGTATTTTGGAAAGGAGTTTCACGACAAATTTTTTATTTTTTGCTTTCCCTCTTGCAGATACTTTCGCGGCACCACTATACACGTGAACACCATACGCCCCATCGAAGCTGGTCTACAAATTGCTGAAAATTATGGTCCCATTTATACGCAGGAGGGTCGCGAAAAGCGTCAAGCTGAACTTAAAAAACTCTACTGGTTCGATTGCACATGCGACCCGTGCTTGGAAAATTGGCCCACCTTCGATCAGCTGCCAACCGATGTCATACGCTTCCGCTGCGACGGCCCCAAACAGTGTAGGGCAATTATTGAAGTGCCGGCGACGTGCAACGATTTCATGATCAAATGCGTGACTTGCGGCGAGAGCACGAACATCTTGAAGGGCCTCAAAGTGATGCAGGTGGGCATAAATAAAGCTTTTGCTTTGCTTAATAAGTCTCGCAGATGTGATTTTAATTGACTTGCTGCTGCAACGCATTTTTAGGATACCGAATTGATGACACGCACTGCCAAGCGTCTCTATGATGCGGGCGATTACGCGAAGGCGTTGAATAAATTCATTGACCTACTACGCATTATGTACGAGGTGCTGGCTCCGCCCTTCCCCGATTTCTGTCAATGTCAACAGCACACAAAGGATTGCTTCCTGCACTTGGGTAATTTCTATAATTTGAATTAATTCATGCGCACAAAATAAATACCTACCTATGTATATGTGTATGTATAGTTATGTGGCTAATTGTGTTTGTCATTGGTCATGAAATTCGAAATGGTTTCGCAGCAATTAGTAATTGCGTTATGGATTAGTTGAAATTCAATATCTACACACTTATTAAAATGTTTTTCCCCAGCTAATTAATAGTCGCATTTATTTCGAAATTTATTTACAAACAGGCAAGAAAAATATTAAGAATTAAAAAAACTGCGCAATATCGTTTATAAAATTTGTAAAATATACACATTTAAAATACTTAATAAAATGTAGAAAAGCGCAACATTGTCGATTCATAAGTATGATTTTGTAAGTAGGTTCCACGAGTTTCCAATTCACCTCATTCTACAGTCACTTCTACACATAAATATGTAAATAAGTATGTATATTAGGGTGGTCCAAAACAAGTAAAGTCGGATTTTTAATGCTCTCTATATGGACAAAATATACCCCCACTTTTTTATTTTGAAATCAAAAAATATTTAGAGGTCGCTCAAAGCGCTCAAAGCTTTCCATGTACTTTATATTGGAAAAAACGACCTTTCGTAGAAATGTTATAGAATTTTTGAAAATCAATATTTGTCGATCGGGGAAATTTGGTTCCTCTTCAGGAGACTTCCAGTAATAATATCAAATTGTTTGTTTAACCATTTTTTAATGCTAACGATTTTTTATTTCTCCCACCATTTCTGTCATTTTCTGGGGGTTTGGCGGACCTATAAAATATAGTTACTATGAAAAAATGGTTAAATAAATAATTGCGTAATATTATTGGGAATCTTCTGAAGAGGAATAGAGTTTTCCCGATCGAAAAATAAAGATTTTCGACAATTCTATACCATTTCCATGAAAGGTCGTTATAGTGAAAACTTCGAGCCACCTCTAAATATTTTTTGATTTAAAAAAAAAATAGGGGTATATTCTTTTCGGTATAGCACAATCTTAGGCGGTGAGAGCATTAAAATTCCTACTTTACTTTTTAACATGCATTTTTGGACAACCCTAATGTATATGCATCGTTGCAAGCACCCCAGCAAAAATTTTCGGTTTTTGGTAAGCGCTTACTTTTTGTATCGATGGAGTAACGCATTACAATTCGCCTCAAGTCAAACATTTTCATTTTCTCGTTTACCCACTGCATTACAGGTAAGTGGTGAATCTCGATTGGGAAGCACTTTTCGAAATTCACCACTTACCTTCTAGTTTACAGAACACATTACTTTAACCTGGACATGTCATTGGCGGTAAGCGAGAAAATGTAAAAATTAAAAATTTTTTCTTGAGGCGAATTGTAATGCGTTACTCCATCGATACAAAAAGTAAGCGCTTACCAAAGAATCGAAAGTTTTTGCTGGGACAAATTAAATCATGCGCATGTCCAGCTGTACGGCCCATTAAATGCTATACCAATAATTGGTGTACGTATTATAACTGTGTTGTTGTTGTGGTTTTTGTTGCTGCTGCTGTTGGCAATGGGAGCTATGTACTTGGTTGCAACCGGCATAGCTGACATCGTTGTAGATGCAACAACGGTAGCACTGTACGTGGTAGACGTACTGCCATCCTGTGGTGAAAAAGGAATAGATTAATAAAACTCGTTTAGAAAAGCGAATTTAAAGGCAAACAAGTACTTAATTACTCAAATGATATATTTAATATGAATTGCTAAATTAAGGCAGACTTCAAGGCATTTCTATAAAATTCGCACAACGCTTGTTTTCACTATGTCAAATTCAATTTTTTCATCAAATAAGGGAATACACATTTTTAAATGGAATTAAATAGCAGTATATATCGATTGATTTTGATGAGGATAGGGCTTGAGTCGCGCACATGCGCTGCTGAATCGGCTATCTGACTGTTTTTGACCCATAATATCATCGGCAAAGGTTATCCATAAAGTTGTGTAAAAATTCTTGGCGTCCAATTATGACATAGTGAAAACCAGCCTTTACACTTATACATATATGTATGTGTATGTATGTAAATGATAAATTTGTTCAGCTTCGCAGAATACGCTGATAATGATTAAAAATATATTTTGCTGATTGTTCTATTAGGTCAGATTGGGACAAGTTGCGTACCAATCTCAGGAATTCCCAATTAATTTTAATTGTTTTCAGTTGAGTTGTGATTTATTAAATTTATTAAGATTGCTTGATAATTTTTAAACCTCTTGTGGTATAAGGGCGAACCCGAGAAACAGTCAACCAAATGCATTGATTTGATGCCCAGATGCATTGATTTAATCATTAAATGTGCTGATTTTTTTACTGCACTGATTTTTCGGAACCCGAAATCAGTGCGCAAAATCTCCTGATTTTGAGAGTTTGTACTGATTTTGTACTGATTTTTACATTTACCAAATATTTTTGTAAATTGGTATAATTGCCATTTCCTCGAGGCTAACATGTTCAAAAAAAAATGTTTTTGACAACTGATATGTGTGAGAAGATTGAAAGCAATTTCTTGAACGTGTAAATACAGCATTAATAAAATCTAAACCACTATTCAAAAGGTGTCACCTTGCAATTGTTTCGTTAATCTGTACTTTTAATCCTTTGCGAGACGCCTTAACCATCTCCAATGGGGATCAAAAATTTATTTGTTAAATCTATGAGAGTGGTGCTACCGATTGAAGGGGTGAGACTGAAAAAAGTCGTTCATTTGACTTTAAGGACCACCCTAAGTACATATTAAGGCAGTACTGGAATACACTTATTTAATTTCTAAAGGAAGCCTTACACCGGCCAAGCATTTTAACCCTCTAACCGGTAAGACGGCCTCAGGGCAGGCATCACAAAAATCAAGATCTCCGTATGAAAAAATTATTTTTTCTTAAAAAAATGAATGTAACTCTCTCTCCCATATTTCTAGGGAAATTTCTTTCTCAAGTTAAAATAAAATCCGTTGGACCGTTTGTCTTCTATACTCAGTTTTGTGCGAACAGGTCGAGAAAAAGGTCGTTTTTTTTTATAAAGAAATTTATTATTTTCAATATCAAAACTTTTTATGTTTGAGAAGTCCGCTGAGCTCGATAATTTTTTTTCGTAAAGCTGTGCTCATTAACTTGCTGATTTTATATAAAAAGTTAAAAAAAAAGTGGAATTTTCCGCCCAGCAGTGCAAAAACTAATGAGTGCCTCAGGGCAGTGTTGCCGGTCCGCGCGTACTTTTATTTACATTGATTTGCAGAGTGCTGTTGTCGTTCCGCGCGAACTTTTATATACATTGATTTAAAAAGTGCTCTTTATAGTCGGTTTTACTTTTATTTCATAACTTGTTTTCATAAAGTGAATACAAATATACTATTATTAAACCGGTGTACGATGTCGCGAGTGAAATTTTCAAAGTTAACGGACGAAGAAATCCATGAAATCATGGAATCGGGAGTTACAAGTGGTGAAGAAGATTCAAACAGTGGAAGTGACTCTGGTTCTCTGTACCACGAGCCAGAGGAAATAAGTCCAGAGGACGAACATTTGATATCCCTATGCCTTCGAGGTATGGATACGAGTGCAAATTTTTTCAACGACGCAGCTGATTACTCACTTACAACATCTACAGTCAGAGATACCGTTACTGCCGATGAAGGAGACATTCCATCAACAGATGCGATTACAGCGACCTACACGGCATTGACGTCAACTCCAATTCAAAAGAAGAGAGCTCGTTCGCCGTTACCAAGACCCGAAGGCACCGGTCCAGCCGTTGTGCCAACCAATGGCGGTTTTGTTGGAAGTAAGTATATCTCCCTCTCCTTCTTAGATCATCGTGATCTTGCTTTATATTTATTTTACCGTTCTTTCAGATATTGAATCAATTTCCAAAGATTCCGCTGAATTTAGCAAGTTGATGTGGCGCAATACAGCTCTAAAACTTCATGTAAATGAGGTCGCATTCCGTGGATCCACACGTTTACCTGACAATATAAAAGGGCTTTCAACTCCATGCCAGTTATTTCTCTATTTTTTTTCTAAGGAAGTAATTGATATGATTGTTGAGGAGACTAACCGGTGTGCTCTAAGTAGGGACATCAACTCAAAATTCAATGTGAATGCCGATGAAATATGCCAATACATCGGAATTCATTTATATATGTCAATATATCGATACCCGAATTTAGAAAGTTATTGGGGAAAGAACGCTTTCGAACCCATTCGCAAAACAATGCCATCGAAACGATTTGAAGCTATAAAAAGATTCCTATCATTCCGAGATGAGGAAGAAAGGGTGAAGAAAGGGCAACCAGGATATGACCCGTTGTTTCGGATACGTAATTTCTCGAATCTTCTCAATGAACGCTTCGACTCAATCCCAAAACATGGTCGACTTTGGTAAGCTTCTGCCATTTGTTAACTCGCAAAGTTATCAGGTTTTATTGCTTTTCTTTAATAGTGTCGATGAGCAAATGTGCTCGACGAAAATGAAACATCATTTAAGACAATATATGCCAAACAAGCCGCACAAGTGGGGTGTCAAATTGTTCGTATTGTGCGATTCGTTTGGTTACGCATATAGGTTTGAGATCTACAACGGCGCAGGAGACAATGTTATTCTACCAAATTGTCCCGATCTAGGCAGCTCAGCAAATGTTGTTGTTCGTTTATCCCAAACTGTGAATGACTTCATGTACCATATAATTTACTTCGACAATTTCTATACGTCGTTACCTCTGTTGGTTTATTTGCGAGCTCGTGGCATATTTGGTCTTGGCACAATTCGAGTGAATCGTATCCCAAATTGCAAATTTCCACCGGACAGTGTTATAGCAAAGAAAGAGCGTGGGTTTTCAACAGAGTATGTGGGCTCTGCATATGGAATCGATATTAGTACTGTTCTGTGGAAGGACAATAAAGCGGTCAGGCTAGCTTCGACTTATGTAGGAGTTGAGCCATTCGATCGGAGTAATCCGAATGAGCAAGTAGCTAAGGCTAAACGATATGACAGGAAGAAAAAGAAAAACATCGAAGTCGATTGCCCACAAATAATTAGGGAATACAACAGCCATATGGGAGGCGTCGACTTAATGGATGGTTTGATGGGACGATATCACGTGAGAGCAAAAACACGTGATATAATGACGCGCCTTTTTTATCATTTTATTGACATGGCTGCAACGAACGCTTACCTTCTTTATAAGCGAATAAATATGGAGAAGATAAATAATTCCAGTAATATTTCTGACGAGGGAGAAAAGATGTTACAGCTGCCTGAATTCAGAGAACAAATCGCTGCTGGTCTTGTGAGCTACAATCAAAAGCGTTCAGCGGGTCGTCCAACTTCAACAAGCCAACCTAATACTGCACAAAAGGGGTCTTTACCTGATTCTCTGATTGTAGGCAGAAAAGCTGTATATCCTGTTGATGATGTTCGTTTCAACGGTAATACCCATCTTCCGAAGTGGCTTGAGAAAAAAGGTGGGAAAAAAATGTGCAAACTTTGTAAAAAGTCCCAAACTCAATTAGGGTACTCACAGTTCTATATTATCTACTGTGTTAATTTTGCCACCTGGTAACTTTAAAACATTTTACCATGTGCTAACTTTGTTTGTTGTTGGTTCCCATACTAATTAGAGATAACACTTTTGGGCAAAATTGCTAGACTTTGTCTCATGTTTATGTTCTGTGTTAAACTGGCATCTATCGCTGCTTGTACATACATACATGAATTTCGCTTTGGGCGCAGCGCTGCTTGTACATAAGTTTCTCTTTGCGCCTGCCTGGAGCTGGCAAAGGTTATTTTTATTTTTATTTTTGCGCTGTGCTAGCTGAGTATAAAAAAGAGAAGAGAGAATAGAGAGAAATATGTATGTGGTTTGTTGATGCTCTCTAAACACAAACGCGTGAAAGGCAAACGGTCTAGCAATGCGTGGTATTGTTGATCAACTTAATACTTTATTTAAACATAAGGGTTGCTCACAGTTCGAGTGTGTTATCTTGTTAAAGTTGCCACCTTTTAACTTTAGAAGTAAACTGTGAGTACCCTAATTGTGTCTGCGAAGTGTGTAATTTACATTTATGCTGCTCCGCCACGAAAAATTGTTTCGGGGAATATCATACAAAGAAATAATTTATTTGTTTTATTATTCATTGCTTATTACAACTTATTTCAATAAAAACATTGTTCCTTACTAAAAATTGTACGTGTTAATTTTTTTCGCTCCAACCGGTAAGTATGCCCTGAGGCACTGTTTCTTATTTCTCACCTGGCAGGCAAACGAAACGACATATTGACTTTCTGTTGACGGAATTGAGTTTATTATGTCCTAATTAAGCTAGAAAAAAATTCCCAACCGTTTCTGATCATTATTTAAAGTTTGCCGGTTTGAGGGTTAAAGTAAGAGAAAATTACTAAATTCGTGGCAAACTCAGTTTTTGCATACTATTTTAGCATACCCTTGTAGTCAGCTGATTAAGTCAAGTGACTTTTTGACTAGTTTTGGTTATTTTTATTTATTTAATGTTTATATTATTTATTTTTTATAAAAGTCTGGCACTTTACTCAACCAGCCCCACATAAATCGACATTTCAAACTTCGTACAAAAATGATGAAAATTCAACAAACTTTATCATTTTCACCCGAAATTTTTAAACCTTTTATTCAGAATTTTTAGAAAAATTTTGGGTATGCAGTTTTGTAACTCATTAAATTTCAAATACTAAAGTGCAAATTTCAAGGCGCTAGCAAATCGGGTTGACTTTTAATAGTTTTTTGGTTGACGGTGTTGTGCATTTTCTTTCATATAAAATATATTGACAATTTCGGTTTTATGGGAGAAAATGCTTAGTACCATCAGCAAACGAAATTATTAAAAATCAACGCGATTTTCTAGCGTCCTGGAATTTGCAATTTCACCTACTTAAATTTAATGAGCTACAAAACTGCATACCCCACATTTTTCTAAAGATTCTGAATAAAAAGTTTAAAATTTTCGGGTGCAAATGTTAAAGTTTGTTTAATTTTCATAATTTTTGTACGAAGTTTGAAATGTGGATTTATGTAGTTAGGTAAAGTGCTAAATTTTTATAAAAAAAATATAAACATCAAATAAACAAAATGCTCCTTGACTTAATCAGCTGACAACAAGGTAAGTGTAGGAAAATATATATATACATAATCACAGGATTTTAAGCCGAAATATTTGTAGCAATACTTAAATTTTTTTTTTATGAAACCAATCCAATTTTATGTTAAAACCTGAATTCCCTAAAACACCACGGAGAACCGAAATTCAAATCGAAGAATTTTTGATGCAAGTTTCTCTAAACAAATGAAGCTTATCATCTATCTAAATTCTTGAACAATAGCGTTGCCTATGCTATGTAAAAAGTGTCTAATATAAGTTGCGTTCCAGCCATCATAAACTTGGTCTATAGTATTTCACATAGCAAGGAGTGGAGCAGATGGCACTAGTCGCGCGATTACTATCTTTAAGCAGATGCTTTGCTGACATTTCATTCAAAGGTTTGAACGCCTGAAAAAACTTATTTTCGATATTTATTATTTCTTTAAAGAAGTTCGAGATCTGTGCAAAAATTATTTTGGTGAACCATGAAATATGGCTACTTTTATATTTTTGAATAGTACACTTTTCCTACTTTAGCTACTTTCATAAATTATAAATGAAACCCGGTTCCTCCTTGGCTGCCTAGAATTTTTGCGGACCCAAACAAAAATTCAAGGAGATATTTTTAAAAATTATCAATTATATAAATATGTCAATTTGAAACATTGTTTACTTTTCCTATAAATTTTAGAAATTGCAAATTGCGGTTTGTGCATTGATGGCAATATGTACAGATGTACAGATGTATGAGTGTAGAAATTTTTTGAGCACTACTGACATACATATATAAATCATTTCAAAGATACAGCAAAATCGCCAATGATTCATATTTCTGTATCTCTTATTTTCGTCATAGACAACCATATTTAGTATATCGCACTCCAAACAATTTTTTTGCGGCGAAAATAATCATTACGCAGCCGTCAAGCATGCATCTTTTTGTATGTAAATACATAAAAAAATGATTTTCCACTTACCGCCGCAGCGCAACTGCAAATATGGTGAGCCACGTTGCGATTTAAAATAGCAACGATTCTGTTGCGAAGTTTGCGGATAAGTTGGCTTCTGCGGCTGCTGGGGTGTATATGGCTCCCAGGGATTCGCCGGACGATATGGTGGGTAACCTGGATGTTTTGTTGTTGTAGATGTTTTGGGTGCTGTTGTGGTGCTTGGTTTTGGATAAAATGGATAGCCTTGCCAGGGTGCTTTTGTGGTAGTGGTAGTAGTTGTTGGTTTCCTTGTTATTGGTCTCCATATAATTGGCCGGATAGAGGGGGTAGTTGATGTAGTGGAGCGTTGTGTTGTCGTTGTTGTTGATGGTGCGGGCGGCTCTGTTGTTGTAGTGGTGGGTCTTTCAGTTGTCGTCGTTGTTGTTATTGTTGGCTCCTCTGTTGTCGTGGTGGTAGTGGTAGCTAATTGTTCTGTTGTTGTTGTTGTTATTGTCGGTTGTTCCGTAGTCATGGTAGTAGTAGTGACTGGGATTTCTGTAGTTGTCCTTATTGTTGTTGGCTCCTCCGCTGTCAGAGTAGTAGTCATGGTAGGACTTTCGGTTATCGCTTCAGCTGTTGCAGTTGTTGGCCTTTCAGTTATTGTTATTGTTGTCGTAGACTCCCCACTTGTCGTTGTGGCGATGCCTGTTGTAACTTCTAACGTCGTGACAGTTGTTGGCGCACTAGTAACGGACGCAGTTGCTTCCTCAGTGGTCCTTTCTGGTGCATTCGTTGTTACTGCTTCGGGTTCTAAAGGACCAACTTCCGGTTCTAACGGCCCAATTTCGGGCTCTAAAGGATCTGGCTCAAAATCTTGCGCCAAAGCAACACTCACAAGTAGAATACCGCACAAAATAAAGCGCACTTTCATCTTATAAGAGAGAAATAATATTCATTAGCTGTAGAAATTATAACGGCAGCATTTATTTAATTCAGTTGAATTAAAATTACCATTTTATGAAAACAACTCAGACTCGCTTATTAAAATATGTATTTAAAAAAA